CTATGTTCAGCCAGCAATTCTACTCATAGAGTACAGCCTCGTCTACAGTACAATCTCGTATCAAATAACTTTCGGCAAACAAAAATAACCGCAAACGCCGTATCATCTTGCATCACGATAATACCAGTCTCACACGGCCAGACAGACAAAAGATTTTTTTAAGGTGAACAACGTTGACCTTATGAGCCATCCCGAGTACAGTCCCGACCTGGCACTTTGAGACTTTTATTTATTTCCAAAAATTAAGAACCCGTTAACGATTCGGTCAACGATTTTCATCACCTGAAGAGGCTGTCGAAGAGTATGAAAAATATGTTTCAGAGATTGTTACGGAGGAGGGCATAAATGTTTTTAAAATTGGTTCATTCGTATGAAAAAATGCATTAACTCTAACGGATTATTTGAGAAACAATAAAATCATTTCTGACCATCTCTTTTTCTTATTCAATCCGGAAACTTATAGTAATCATGTATAATAATCAATTCCCGTCAAAAATGGTATTATGCAATATGGTAAAAGTAAGCATATAACATCTTATGACAAACCAATTGAAAAAAAGTTAGAAAAGGAAATTTCGCGCGCTGTAATTTTATTTAATTCATCGCAATTGCTTCTTATAAAAATAATCTAAAAAATAAATAAAAAATACTAAATAAGCTAAATAACTAAAAAAAATCTTATGTTTGTGCTGCAAAGGTAAGGTTTATCTTAGTCGTCAGTAGTGAATTCAAAGCTTCATAACAACTGCATTACGTAGTCAGTTTACGCGCCAGCACGTGTAAGGTAACCGGTGGCCCATTTTGTTACGGAAGTCGGGACGATGGCCCAGGGGACGAGCGTGCCATTCCGTCTCCAAAATACACCGACACACGTAACTTGTAGAAAGTAGTCAATAGATTAAGGGGCGACATGTATACTTAAACTTATTTTGGTAACTTCAATAACATTAATTGGCATAGTCTTAGGGATTCCCTATGAAAACCAACATCCTCCAAGGGGATTCCTCTTGTTTCTACATATAGGTACCTTAGACCATAGATACAAATGAAATTTAAAAAAAATGTCGTTAACAAGCTTTTTTAACGATTTCTTACATTTTCGCGGTTGTTACACATAGGAAATGAAACTATTTTTTCGTATTTAAATCATCTATATTTGTATTTTCAAGCAAACCAACGTTTCAGGTCCTTTACAGGTTCCATGGTCATGGTCCCGTGGTCCCATCCTATCCTATCCATCCTATAAATGGGACCCGAAATGTTGCTTTGTTTGAAAAAAAAATAAACGTACGCAATTTAAATCCGGAAAAATAGTTTCATTTCCTAAGCTTTTTTAAGATCATTATTTTAATTTCATCTGAGGATCATTGTTCAATTGATTATAAAAAATGCTTTTACAATTTACTGTTTCGTTATTTATGTTTATATTTTCTTATTTTTGTCTTCAGGTGCCGCGAGAAAGTTTCAAGCACATAGTCAAGGCGTGTGAATGCCCGCTGTACTGGAAGATGCCGCTGTTTCTTACCACGCAGCAAAATCTGCACGCGCATGTCGACGGACACAAATTCATTGACTTCTGGAGAGAGTCAGTATATATTTTTTTTGTACACTATTCTGTTCATGAATCCCGACGAGATTAAAACTTGTAATGATAAACGTGGAAAAGCTTCCGATATGACACGGTTATATAGCACATTTAAAATTCAAATTGAATTACTTTGTTTCTCACGAAATGAAATTTAATTACATTATCCACAATATCATCATTATTTTTCATAGTAATTATCTATACAGAAGTGCAAGAGCGCAAAGGACCACAATGAATCACTTTCTATATAAAATATTTACGTCAGCATTTGCCACTATTACCGCACTTATTTTCAGAATTACAACCCAATGCCACGACCAAGCATCCCGATTTGTATACATCCTAACACGAGGGAAGAGTAACACGTTGGCGCCGGAAGATTTCGTGCCGTTGGTCCAGGACGTGGTGGACACACACCCTGGCCTTTCTTTCTTGAAGGAAGCCACTGAGTTTCATTCAAGATACGTACATACTGTAAGTTGAAATTTAGTTAACATAACAATATTTGATTACATGGCTCTACACGGTTGATGTTAGAAAAGTTGTAAAGCTCTTTATCCTCGTAAATTGCTTTAGCAAATTATTATCTGATTTTCACTGATTGCTTAATGTGATTAGATAGTCAACTTGTGGTGATGAAAAAACTTTTTTAATTTCCCCGGGAAATTTACACGTATAATAATTATAGTAGTAAATATACGATAAATCACTTTTTATTTCGATAATATACAGGCTACAATAAAAGCTTAAATACTAGAAAGAAAATAAAAGTAGGATTTTTAAATTATATGAATAAAATTGGATCCCTGGGACAAGGTGCCCAAGATGCTGGCAGCGTTCCTCTTTTGTATGGCTGTGCTAATGCGTTAGGCAAGGTAGTTTAGCCCTTGGGTTTCCCAGACAGTCTATTAATTTTTTGGATAAAATTTTGTACATTAATTTTTTGGATACAATTCATCTGAATAGCACTGGGACCCCACGTATTTCACTAATAATTATACACGCAAAAAAAAAAAAAACAAAAATAAACACTCATTCAATACTATCTGGTCCATTACAGGTGATCGCTAGAATATTTTATTGTGTAAATCGATCGTGGTCCGGGAGGATTTCGATACCTGAATTGAGGAGATCTAATCTACTTCAAGTTATAGAGTTACTTGAAGATGAAGAGGATATTAATCAAGTTACACAATACTTTAGGTAAGTAATAATCTCAGAACAGAGTACTAAAAAATTCGACCTCAAAAGTTTGAGGAATTACATCTATTTGCCAAGTTTATTGACATCGGTTACTGGAAAATGCGCGAAATCGGATTTCCCCTAGTTTGATACTTTTAAAGGTGGAATATTTTCTTCAAATTTAAATGGGACCACTACTGAGGTACCCTCCATCCAACAAAAAAGAATCATCAAAATCAGTTCACTGATCTGGAGTTATCGCGTAACATATATAAAAAAACAAACAGTCGAATTGAGAACCTCCTCCTTTTTTGAAATCGGTTAATAAGAGGTAATGAAGAGGTAGAGACACTTAGGCTTTACAGCCTTTTCTGTGAATTATTAGAAACAGATTACTTATTATTTTAAAATCTTATTTTTTTACCTTATTGTTGTTTCAGTTATGAACATTTCTACGTCATTTATTGCAAATTCTGGGAGTTAGATCGAGATCACGACTTATTCATTGATAAACACGATCTCGCAAGACACAATGATCACGGTATGTTTTTGTAGTTTATACAAAATATTCGGTTATGGAATTCAATTTAAAGTGTTTTTTCTACAACTACACAGAAAGTTTCTGTCAAACAACAACCCGTGATGCTACGGTCACACTAAGGTGTAATATCATTAAATGTCGCATTAGTCGAGACTATTTATACAGACAGTCTCAATTAATGCCATTACACCTTAGTGTGGCCCCAGCATAAACACGACATATTTTTAAGGCGATTTATTTAGAAACATAAACATTTCATAATAAACATGTTACTGGTTTTGATTGGTTTTTCAAACATCCTATTATCAATGGGATCATACTAATTAAGGTCTAGTGTAATTAATTCTTCTATAGGAACAAGAACAGATGTTCAAACAATTAAAAGAACTCTCTACATCCATTAACGCCGAATTGCGCGTCCAATGTAATGATTGTTCAGGGCGCTATTTCAATTTCCGGTAGTACCGGTAATATTTATTTATTTATTTAAAAATACAGACTGACATTGTGAGTTTACAGTATCACCCAAAGCACTCACAAAGCTATTCATATACACGTATATACATAATATTATAATGTGCACACTATTTTTTTTTATAATATCAAGTGACGGGACGAACAAGACGTGCGCCTGATGGTAAGCTACACGCCTGTCCATAACAGTTGCAATGCCACTTAGAGCTTTAAATCGCAAAGACCTGAGGGGCACTGCTACTGCACCCGTCACCCTGAGACATCAGTTGATATGTCCCATGTGCGTGTGTTTCACCAGCACCCTTACCCTTCAAAACTGGAACACAGTATAATAATGCTGACATTATTGCCTGGCGGCAGAATAGGTAAGGTGGCAGTACTTAACTGGACGAACTGTGTCACAAGGAGCTCTACTATATTATTTCCTAGTGTAAAAATAAAGAAAATAAAACAACTAAATAATAATAAACACTATATTGTATGATCGTGTTAAATAGTTGTGTAAAAAAATGTAAAAATAATATTAGTTTCGGTTACTAGTCGGTGAGCACACCGACTCGGCATCATGGTCCTCGTCCAGGAGAGTATTGAACAAGGCGAGAGCTCGACGCGTGGGAGCATATGTTTGTTAAGATACGATTGCTTTTTTTTACTTCCTATTGGATGAAAGCGTCATGACTCACTCCTACTTCAGCTACTCGTCATCCCGAATTGTATCTTTAACACATGAATCTCTTTGATAGTGCAGCGCTGAGTGCAGCTATGCAGGCTTCAAGTCGGTAGCTTTTTAAAAGTTACCTATTTCAAATGAATATAACACATGTAAGGCTTTCTTCGAAACATATTTGTTTGCAATGTTTCATCGTATGTAATATATATCCTCCTATATAATACTCGGTATGCCTTATTGACATATATACTTCTATGTTTTGATTTACCAGCGTAGTGAAAAACATCAAACAAACAAACTAAACAATGGGTAAACAACGAGATGCATTTCGTTGCAGATTCATTTCATTTCCTATCGCAGTTTAGGATTTATACAAAGACAGACTAAGTTTTTAATAAGTATAGATACTTTAAAAATTCTATATAATGCGCTATTTAGAAGTCAATTAGAAAGTAGCTCTATAATATGGAATACCGAGGAAAAAAAATATAGCTTAATGGTTGAAAAAATTCAAAATAAATTTTTAAGGCTTGCGTACCTTAGGTCTTATAAAGTGTACCCTAAGTTCCCCAATATGTACCCGACACCATTTGTCCGAGGAATGGTTGGCTATTATACGCTCGAAGCACGAAGAAACTTGGCTCTCGTCACTTACGTATTTAAAATTTATCGTGGCTTACTGTGCAATCCGCAAATACTGGAAGCAATCGGCCTCCTCGTGCCAAAAATGCGCCTACGCCGCGGCGTGCGACAGCAGACTCTAGCGCTGCCGCCATGCAGGACCAAAATGCTGGAGCATGCGCCGCTCACTACCGCTTTGCGTCTTTTAAATGATATTTCTAAAAAAATTTTTATATTTGATATTTTTTGTTGTTCGATGTCGAGATTCGCAGACGTAGCCCTTGACACTATATGTAAGAAATAGTTATAAGAAATTGAAATGTTTAAATTATTATTTTTATTGTAATGTTTATGAATGAAAGCTATTTAGTAATTTATTAACGAATTTATTTTAAAAATTAAGTGATTTGACATTATCGAATTACATTTATATCTGTAATGATAAATGTGTTTGCACAATGTAACATGAATAAATGAAATAAATAAATAAATAAATGAAATTTTATGCGCGTGGCGCACTATAAGTTTCCGGAATTAATAAGAGAAAAAAAAATACTATAAATGGTCTAAAATGAATTTATTGTTTCTCAAAATATTCTTCGTTAGCGTTAATGCACTTTTTCATACGAATGGACCAATTTAGAAAACATTTATGCCACTCCTCCGTAACAATCTCTGAAACATATTTTTCATACTCTTCGACAGCATCTTCAGGAGATGAAAATCGTTGACCGCGTAACTGGTTCCTAATTTTTGGAAATAAATAAAAGTCACAAGGTGCCAGGTCGGGACTGTACGCGGTATGGCTCATAAGGTCAACGTCGTTCACCTTCAAAAATTCATTTGTCTGTCTGGCCGTGTGAGAACTGGCATTATCGTGGTGCAAGATGATACGGCGTTTACCGTTATTTTTACGGAGTTTGTCAATAACTTCCGGTAAACAAATGGGCAATCACTATCCACGGTACAACGATTCTCCAAAGCAACAGTAGCCACGTGTCCAGTTTTATTAAAAAACGAAGCAATCATCCGCTTAGAGGCACTTTGCACGCGCGCCACTTTGGTTGGTTTCGGCTCATGTCGAAAGACCCATACGCTCGATTGCTGCTTTGTTTTGGAATCGTAATTATAAATCCATATTTCGTCACCTGTTATTATGTCGCACACCAAATTTGACGTCCCTTCGTTGAATCTGGTAAGCATAGCATTGCACCAAGTGGCGCGATCCGTTTTTTGAGACTCAGTCAAATTGTGTGGGATCCGCCGAGAGCACAGCTTTTTCACACTCAAATGTTTGTGTAGTTTTGATTGTATTTGACTCATGCCTATGCCTAAAGATGTCCGAATCTCATGATATGTCACATGTCTGTCTGTTTTGATCATACGGCGCACAGCATCGATGTTTTTGTTGTACACAGCAGTGGACGGGTGACCATCACGAAATTCGTCACTGAGATTTACACGACCGCTTTTGAAATCAGCTATGAATAGTCGTCTTGCATGGTGCTTCATCGCCAAAAATAGTTTGAAGCCGAGCAAAGCTCTGCTGAGCTGTTAAAATTTTCACGAGTTAAATGTTAAATTCATAGTGATGTAGACGAATGACGACGACGTGTAGAAATTCTAAAACGACGCCACGATGTAAAAACAAGTCACAGTCAGATGTAACAAACCGTATTCTACAGCCAAAGAGTTCCATTTTCAAATGTTGTAATTACTTTTTAAATATTGTTTATGTAAGTGGCCAGTTCCGGAAACTTATAGTGCACTCTATGGAATAGTTCCTACTCGAATCTAGGCTAGCTCTCATATAAAAAAGTCACAAACTTATTTCATTCTTCTGTTACATAAAACACTTCTGTTGCATATTTATAAAGCAAAATGTAATATTCAATATCTTATTTCCAGCGTTATCGAGCCGTATGATCGACCGGGTGCTGTCAGGATGCGTGACGCGTGGAAATCAAAACCGTTTGACTCCCGATGGTGAACCTCGCATGTCGTACACGGAATTCGTCTGGTTTCTACTGGCTGAAGAGGACAAGACGCATCCCACCGCAATTGAGTACTGGTTTAGGTAAGGTTATAAAAGACCCATGTATTGTATTTTGCATTTTACATAAACCTATGTGCATATTAAGAAGACAAGCACGTTTGTACAGTTACCCAACTGTACAAACGTAGCAGTAGCGTATTTTAGGAGTTGCAATGTCACTCAGAGCTTTAAATCGTAAAGATCTGAGGCGCACTGCCACTGCGCCCGTCACCCTGAGACATAAGGTGACAAGTCCCATGTGCCTGTAATTTCACCAGCACCCTTACCCTTCAAAACTGGAACGCAGTAATACTCACATTACCGCTTGGCAGTACTTCCCTGGACGAACTTTTCCCAAGGAGTTCTACTGCAACTAAAATAATGCGCCGTATACACACACATTCGCATAATTTTGCGACGCACCCGCTTTACATAGCGTGGGTCGTCTCTTTAGCTTTAATCGCGTTTATTCCCGTTTTCAAGTATTAGATACGTAACGGAATTTCCAAAACCCAAAAAGTAGAACTAAAGGTATTCATGAGTACACTTCACCGTAATATTCAAACTAAACACCTGAAATTTCGACTTAATATTAAACTCGATATAGTCCTGTTAGATATACAGAATTGCAGATAATACACAAACTTCAAGTGGCATTGCATGCTTTAGAGCGCTTGTGAGTTTGCACCGCGTGATTTTTCATTTGTGTATTCGAATATAGCGAATAGCAGTAGAACTCCTTGTGAACGAGGTCGTCCAGGGAAATACTGCCCCCTTACTATTTCCGCCGCCAAGCAGTAATATGAGCATTACTGTCTGGTTTTGAAGGGTAAAGGTGCTGGTGAAATCACAGACACATGAGACTTGTCAACTTATGTCTCGGGGCAACAGGCGTAGTGGCCAGTCATCTTTGCGAATAAAACTTTGACTGGCGATTCAATAGTTATGAACTGGCGTGTCGCTTAACACTTATTATAAAAAAAAATTAAGTAATCAATAACAGATTGTAAGTAATCCATATCGAGATAGCTTGGATGTAATTGTCAATTATTTCAGATGCATGGATGTAGATGGAGACGGGTACATATCTATGTACGAGTTGGAGTACTTCTATGAAGAACAGATGCAAAGGATGGAAGCTATCGGAATAGAAACTCTGCCTTTTAACGACTGTTTGTGTCAGGTTCGTACAACATATACAAGTACATGAAGATCTACATCAGTAATGACTGTACCTATTTAGTGTGTAGCCAGCAGTATAATGACTCTACAAATCTACCATTAACCGCTTAAACCCCAGCCATCTACAATGGGAAAAGCTTTAAACGCCCAATGTAAAATTGCGTATTCCTACATTTATTGTCATTGTTATTTCATTTCATATTTTACAAAATATTTAATAATACCATTAGAGATGGGAAAAACTGCTTATTTTTCTTTGAACGTTAACGTTGAAACGTTGTGCGCCCTTAAACGCTTTTTAGTTTGAAGCTTATAAAATCGGTTAAGCGCGTAGACTTTTATGTTAAAAAAGGAAGAGTAGTTGCAGCTAAAAGCAAGAGTAGACCATTAAGGCTCAACTCACTGGCGCAGAGTTGAAGCGTCGCGTCGCGTCCTGTTTTTCAACTACAACGCCTGGCGACGCGCGTCGACGCGCCACGACCCTCGCATTGGTACGCCCGGATCACAGTGTGGTCGGCGTCTGACGCCTCACTGCGCCCAAGTAACGCGCGGCGACGCGCGAAGCCGCTCGACTGCAACCAAGCGTCGACGCCCGACTCCATATTTGCATAACACAAATTTGTATCTTAATAATGGGAAAATAGAGATGAATATGCTATAGGCGAAAGACATGACGCGTCGCGACGCTTCGACCCTGCGCCAGTGTGAGTTGAGTCTAAAGGATTTAAGATAAGTAAGTTTATTGGTAAAACGCGAGTTTTATTTTTATTTCTAAAATTATTATTCACATTGATGAATTAATTTGTTTAGGAAACATTGATGGCGAGACTTGAAACATGATCACGTTGTTAACGCTTACGCTTAAATTGGAAAGCGTTCTTATGTGCTTGTTTAAAAAAGCAAACTTTTTTAGGTGCGTTTTGTTTAAACGCCGACCTCTAAATACAATTGCCATATTTACGTCAATCAACTATTTATTCCAAACTTATAATCAACTATGTACTTTAATAATTTGGATTTATTAATATTTAAAGTTTTTTTTTTTCGCGACTTGCGCAAGAGCGATATAAATAGCAGAATCTCTATGCGAGAACAGCAGTATCTCGCGCTTTAGTATCGCTCTCGCCCTATTGTGCTAGCCCTACCGGATATACGTATACATATAGTGATGTGGATACTTGTAATTGGCTTACACATAAGAACTGTGCCTTACCAAATGGTGTTTTATTTTTTTATGTGTAATTTGCCAGTGTTCCAAATAAATAAATGTACGGACGATAAGGACGGCACCATATCAATCTAAATGTTGACGGATCTTATTCCGTTGCTTTTGAGGCGATATTTGAACAAAAGTGTATTGCTTGATGTCCCGTTGACTGTACATTCAAATGTAGGTACTAATAGTATATGCTTTAGGCCGAATAAGTATGCCCACTGTTTTGTATAATAAAGTTATTTTTCTAGATACCCTAATTATGGTCGTGTAGAATATAAATTTTAATGCGATATATCGAGTTCTTAGGTTTTCGCGATTGTTACACATAGGAAATGAAACTATTTTTCCGGATTTAAGTCGCGTATATTTATTTTTTTCAAACAAACCGACGTTTCGGGACCTTTACAGGTCCCATGGTCACGGTTGACTGTCGTACAGTCTTCAACCAATTATGTCTTATATTAATGCAAACCACCCAATTTTTTCACTATAATTACAATAGTTATTAATTAAATACCCTATTTTTAATTTTGCAAAGAAAACATTCCAATTTACGCTACAAAATTATTTTATTGAAAGAATTTTTATTAAGTTCAATTTATTATTAATTAATAATAGAAATTAGAATTAACTAAAACATATTAATTAGTACTGCAGTCTTATGTCTGTTTGGGATTTTTCATCAGAGAAAGTACTGGATCCCAAACTGGTGGTATGGAGAAACCATCTTCCCTGTTGAAATTAGGATGTTTTTTTAATTTCAATGGCCTCTCGCAGCATCCTGGGTAGATAAAGGACTTCTTTTGCAAGGACCTGGGGTTTGTCAAACTTCATTGAATGTGTAGGTTTATCCATGACATGCTCGCAGACTGCAGACTTGTTTATGCGACGGTATTTGACATCAGCTATATGTTCTTTGACGCGGGTACAAATACTTCGCTACGTTTGTCCAATATAAGAGAGACCGCACTCACAGTCAAGCTTGTAAACTCCTGCATCCTGTAAGGGGATGTTACATTTCACGGGTCTCAGAAACTGAAAATCTTCCTCACGGGCTTGAAATAGGTCTTGATATGCACGCCTGAGGACTCTTCCGATTTTGTCTGTAACATCTCTCACGTAAGGTAAAATGGCAGGTCTTCGCTCGACTGTTGGTGGTTTCACACGGGGCCTGCGGCATTGGCGTGGAATTTTCAACTTATTCGCATGTAGGACTTGCTATGTATACTAAAGTTCCCCTGCCAGATGATTACTGTCGCAAACACCATGAGCTCTCTGAAATATAGATGTGCTAACTGGCTAAGATGGTGATAGGAATTACCATTGATATCTTTATTATTATTATAGATTTATTAGAGATTACCTATCTGTATGGGTTTTCTTTCGGAATACAGTATGACCTAAGGTGTTATTAGGATTTCTTTTAATTAAAACATCTAAGAAAGCTAAAATACCACAATTCTCTTGTTCCATAGTAAATTGGATCTTAGTACTAAAAGAATTAAGATGGTCCAAGAATGAAGGTATGCTATCTTAAGGTAATATTGTGAAAGTATCATCAATGTACCGTTTGAAAGTCTTTGACGTAGCTGGGGCCATGGGTAAAACTCGCTCCTCGAAGTCTTCCATGAAAATATCGGCAACAACGGGAGATATCGGGGAGCCCATCGCTATACCGTGAATTTGTAGGTAGAACTCATTATTCCACAATAGATAGCCTAATGTTAGGCAGTGTTCTAATAATTCTGCATATTCAATGGACATATTATGTTCCCTTAGCTTTCTACGTACAATTTCAATGCAGTCTTTTACTGGTAGGTTGATAAACAGCGACTGAACATCAAAACTGACCATGGTGTCATCGCCAGTTAACTGTAGATCTTTGATTCCACTGATGAAATGGTATGAATACTTCGCGTTTTTTTTTTTCATTTTTTTATAATTTCAAGTGACGGGACGAACAAGTCGTGCGCCTGATGGTAAGCTGTCCATAACAGTTGCAGTACCACTCAGAGCTTTTAATCGCAAAGATCTGAGGGGCACAGCCACTGCACCCGTCACCCTGAGACATAAGTTGACAAGTCCCATGTACCTGTAATTTCACCAGTACCCTTACCCTTCAAAACCGGAACACAGTAATTGTGACATTACTGCTTGGCAGCAGAAATAGATAAAGTGACAGTACTTCCCTGGACTAACTCTTTCACAAGGAGCTCTACTGCTACTATAATCACATGTGTAGAAGTGTTCCCTCTCAATGGTGACAGTACCTTTGCCATGTGTTGAGCCAGTTTGTAGGTTGGTGTGTCAATCTGGCTAACTATGGGACGAAGTGGGGTGTCAGCCTTATGTATTTTTGGTAACCCACACAGTTTTGGAGGTTTTACGCAGCAGGGTACAAACTCACTTACATCAAGTTTCAGCGTATCGGAGTACTTAGATATTAATTTAGTTGTTGTTTCTAATATCTTGGTGGTAGGGTCTTTCTTCACCTTTTTATACGTGCCTTTATCCGATAGTAAGTCAGTTATTTTGCTGTTATAATCTGACGTATTCATGACCACCGTCGCTTTACCTTTATCTGCACGGAGGATGACTAATTCAGGATCTTCGCGGAAGGTCTTCAGCGCGTTATATTCATCTCGAGTAAGATTCGGTCTGGGCTGTTTATTTGAACGCAATATTCACTACACACCTTGGCGTATTGCCTCCAAATCTTTAATGCGATATTTTCATTATAATGTACACTGGGCGTTTACATGATCTTGAGAATGATATTGTCTGGATCTGAATCACTTCACATATTTTTTCATTTCGATGTAAGTGTAGGTACACGGGGCCTGAGGAGGCTAAGCCAATTAAATCAGCGTTTCTTTTTAGTATATCAATTGTAAGGGTGTATTCCAGATAAGTAATATTAAATTATCATGTAGTACATTTTTACAGATGCTAGATATGGTACATCCAGCTGAAGAAGGCAAAATTACTCTATCAGACTTGAAAAAATGTAAACTGACGCCTATCTTTTTCGACACGTTCTTCAACTTGGAAAAATATCTTGACCACGAGCAGCGGGATCCGTTTGCTACGCAACGTGACTCGGATTCCGAGGCAAGTATCAATAATTATGCAAAGACCTGTTGGTATCACGTATTTTCTTATCATGTATTTTCTTAGTTTACTTATAATATAAATTAATACATAAATATTCGACAACATCACATACGTTGCTCCGATCCCAATATAAGGTGACCGTCAGGATGGCTGGTCACCTGTGGCATCTGGTACTGAGTGTATATTCAAGAATTGCTACCTATTTGCTACTATTTGCTAGCTTTTCTAAATAATTACCACCTTTGATATATTCTGAGGAATTAAAAAAAAAATTGACCAGCCATTCTGATATCGGATGGCTGGTCGCCACTTTGTTCAGCATGAAGGGAGCAGATTTTGCAGAAGTATGTATTACCACTAATTTCTACTTTCACGAATTAAAGGTATACGCTTCTTATCTACATTAGTTAAAAAAATATGAGCAATTGAAAATTTTACTAAGTGCCTGATTAAATTAAAAAAGTAAGTTTTTAGTGTTCTATTGCCATATTATAAAGGACAGGCGTTGGCACTTCTTCGTAAAAGTTTCAATCGTTTAAATTTTTTTATAGCAAATAGGTAGCAATTCTTGAATATACACTCAGTGCTAGACTCCACTGGCGACCAGTCATCCTGACGATCACCAAAATAAGTAACTAAAGCATTTGTGTTATGGAAATTGGGAACAACGTCGGTACCATAAACACTCATACCCGAGACAATATGGAAAAGTTAGTTTCTATATTGACCCGGTCGATGATCGAACCCGGAACCTCAGAGATGGCGACACCTTGAAAACTGGCAATTTAGGAACTGGTATACACTACCTATTCTACGTGTTACGTAATTGATATCAAACCTATATTAAAGGAGTTGTATCGCAGACAAAATAGGACTTGTTATGAAAAAAGGTAAAATTCAAAACATTTCAATAAAAAGCATATAAGGAAACAAGTTTGTTTGATAAAGTACTTCTTTGTACACGCCACCGTACACGCCAGCACATCAAGCTACACATTGACGTATCTTGTTCCGTTGCGCTGGAGGCGATTTTCGAACAAAAATGTGTAGTCTGATGTGCATCCATGATGTGTCCGTACATTTTTCCAAATATTATCATGCTTACAATACCAAGTAACCGATTTTAACCATTTTCTTATCCTTAATTTTGCAGATGTCAGAATGGGACAGGTTTGCAGCTGAAGAATACGAATTACTGGTGGCTGAAGAGGGAGGCAGTGATGCCCAAGATCAAATGTAAGAGCTATATGTATATTATTTATATCATAGAATATTGTGTATTTTTAGGCACTTAATGACATTTTCTTTCCTATCATGTACAGGGATCTCTATAGAGTAATGAAAGAGTGTGAAAAAAAGAAGTATATTAATCAGTTCTATGAGATATGCAGGAATAATGGATTTAACGGATACAAATATTACAAATATAAATAACTGTTTCACTTGGTAACGTAGAAATATTATTGATAAGAATGTCTTCTATGCCCTTCTAGCTGCGAATGTTAAAGTTCCCTCATCAAGCATTTTGATGCACTTTACAACAGGCACATCTATCATTTATAAATTACTATGTATTTCATATTTTTACCATAGTTCCTTCACATTTCTCAAAAATCTTACACCAGTGTTTCCCCATATGTTCTGAATGCAAAGATCGGAAATTCCGGAAAAATGAACACATTAATAGAGAACACAAAAATAACATTATTTTCATTTATCTTTCTAACCGAAATGAGCCCTTATTTTCAACAATACCTAGTTACATCGGTCAGCTATGGTACGCCATTATAATTTGTGTATGGTCTATTTTGTATAGTACGATCAATTACTATGTATCTATATGTATTTATTTATTTTATGTTCATTACTTTATTTAAATTTCTTTCATCAGGGAGGAAGACAGAACTGGCTATGCTAGGGTAAGAAAGTGTTGGTGACTTGCAGTGTATGCTACTTCGTATTTTTGTTGCATTGAAGACGTAAATAAATCTTTCCGTTACGAACACCAATGCTTAAAAATTGGGCTTGTATGACTCCTTGAAAATTAAGAACGGTTACATACGGTGACTTTCAGCAGCACGTTTGTAGCGACTCAGTTGCGATGCAGTAGCGATGCTATCGCTAATCGTCTACCTTTTCACACAGGCACGACTGTGACTATCCAATACTATAAAAAAATATATGACTGATATTGTGACGGTGAATATCCAATACCATAAAAAAATATATGACTGATACTGTGACTTTCGACGACTGACCTCACATTTGAAATCTTTTGTATCGCTGCTTAAGCGCGCGTTTGTGTCGATACTGTATTGCGATGCAAACGCGATACAGTATCGATACAAACGCTATACAGCCGTGATGCACAAAAAATTCAAATGTGAGGTCAGTCGTCGAAAGTCACAGTATCAGTCATATATTTTTTTATGGTATTGGATATTCACCGTCTGTGCCATTGTCATAATGCATATGAGCTTCTATAACAAACGTGCGTAAGCATCGATTCAGCAGCGCGTTTGCATCGATATAGCCGCACATATTTAACGATTCAACATAAGCGACTGCATAGATACAAACCCGCGATTGCACCAATGTAACCGCCTGTAAATTGCTTCGCTGCTAAAAGTCTACGTGTGTAACCGCTCTTAAGTATCTGAAAAATGAAACAAATTTGCATTATGCTATTCATGAACTACTATATGCTTGTAATGTGTGAATATTTGCACTGATACGTTGGATGAAATCAATGATGTAAATGACTATAGAACTCTATCTATAACGACAAATTGTCGATTTAAAATGTGATTCCCAATTCTGACGTTGTGTGTTGTTGACTGCTTGACGATCTTTGTCTGCCTTGCTGGTGAAACATATCCTGTAAATATTATTTTGTATACCTACCTTTACACTCTATTTAAAAAAAAATAAAGCTTTGTTTGTAAATAATATTGACCATTGATGATACTTACATGAAAAATTTGGCATGAAGCAACACTAACAAACCAATATGTTGGTTCACTTGCATTCAGTACATATATTATTTATCATTGTCACCTACTGCGTTACGAAACCGCAATTATTTTCAAAGAAACAGTATTCTAACATATTGCATTTTTCAGCTCGTACGATGAAACAGACGAAGACTGTTTATCGCCAAATCTAGATGACATCACCAGCACTGAAGTTGTCGAAGACTCGAGTATGGAAGAATCCACTCTCAGTGAGAGTGTGTCCAGCGTGACCTCCGCCCGGCTGAGAGAGCCAGGCGTAGCGGCCTCCGTTTCGCGTGTCCATCCTATCACTACCTCAGCGCCCGACTACGTCAACCTCAGCTCTATTTATTCTATTGGTTCTCCAGAACGCTGGGTAAATCAACCTCAAACAGCCTGTGTCAAGAATGGTTATCCAGAAAAAAAAATACCGTCCGAGAAACCTGTGCCTCCCGAAAAGCCAGTTAGTTTGATGATGGTCAACGGTAAAATGGATAACAGATACGCCGGATTCGGTGGTAATAATAGTTTTTTATATTCCCAATTGCTCGCTTCTGGGGGAGCGCGTGCCAAAGATCCACCATCGTACTCAGTCGCGACTAGCGGCGCTCTGTTTGATAAAAACGACGAAAAGGTGACGTCACCAGTAAAAACTGTTAAATCGCCGGTTACTAGTCCAGTTAACGGAGTGAATAAGATTTCTGATAATTATGAAAGAGCCGTAGCGGAGAGACTCAGTCCGCAAAGAGAAATATCTAGACTGAATCGAAGCAGTTTGTTCAGTAAAGTAAATACTGGAGTGGTGTCTAGCAAGGTTAAAAAGAAAAGTAGTCGCAATCAGGAGGATGATGATGACGACTACGCACGAGACAGCGATGAATGCTCTATATAGGTTTTGGCGTTCAAGAAATGGTTTTGGGGGTCACCATAACACGTGACTCACGTGAAATATTCATTTAATTCACTAAACACCAAAGATCACGGTCGTGCAATTCATGTAAACTAATTGACAGTTTGTCTTTAGATTAGAATTAAAGACGATAGTTACACAGTTTTGTTAAACAGAGATAATATTTTTTCAACGTATCCTAGTGGACGATACGTGCCTTGTGACATTGTAGAGATGTTAAAATTCTGAACACTAGTTGAGTGAAATTTAGACACATTATGAAGTGTAAAATAAAAGAACTTATTTTAAAATTCGGATAGACTAGTTTCGGCATTTTATTAGATTTGTATTTACTTATTTAACAGATTTTATACAGTGCTTTATTTATATAGTAAAATAAGCATATCAATAATTTGCATGCAATTTGTTTAGATCAATTATTAATTTTTTTAAATAATCCCATCAAGATAATCACGTCCATCACGAAAATTAATTCATATCATTCCTCCATCCATTACAGCATTCTGCGCATCATACATGTTTCAACAACCAAAACAGACAAATGAATAGTCTGGTTATCTAAACAATTGAAAAAAAAAACTTATAATTGATTAAGCGATTTATAGATACGTTAGAGTAGACTATTTCTTGCTTTCTATAATAAATTGAATTTCATACCTAACGTGTTTTAGAAACTGATTATAACTACGCATTACTTTATCAATAAATCGACAAAAATAATATAATAACTTTGGGTAAACACGCACATATTTAGAGTAGGGATGGATATTTTTGATAATAACAAACAATCTTGCCTCATTAACATTAAATATTTTTTTAAACTATTGTAGCGTCAAATGAAACCGTGTTGGTTGAAGGAAAGGCAATGAAGGCACAGGAAAGGAGTATTTGCTTACTAATCAAGACATAAATTACATAAATATGTGGAAAAAGGTCAGAAAGCCGAGAAAATAACGTAAAGGAAGTTACTATTCCTTTTAAATCTCGACGAGGATATACGGGGATATGTTTAAGGAGAACAACATAGAAAAAGTATTTAACATTTTAAATAAGTCGTAAGTAGATATTACATTGTTCTTTTTTAAATTTGACCCTCTACATTTGTTATCGGAGGCATTTTAGTACCTATTTATGTAGGGATACATAGTGAAGGCAGCTGTTAGTAAGCTTGTAGATAATGCTAGGTAGATCTTAGATTTTAGTCTTTGTCTGCATGTGCTGATACAAGCGATGGTTTTCTACACTTTGAAACTGGAATAATTCCAATAAATTCAATCTATTGTACAATCTTACTCAATTTGATGATGGCTGCAATAATAAAATTCTCAGATGACTTAAAAAATAATTCTCCTTGGTTTTAATAATTAGGCTTTGCTATACATATAATAAACTTTGTAATGTAATGCAATATCGTAGAACTGATTTAATAAAATTTTTAATACAATGTTATTTAGAAAATAGCATAATGTATAATGAATGTTCATTCATTAAAAGCCAGTGCCTCGGTTGTTGTTATAATTTCATGGTCTCAAATACCGAAACTACCGTAGTTCTAATCCTATCTGAGCTTCTTCGTTAATATTAAAACTAGTCATTTCCACATCTATAACGTTTATCTTGTTTATACTCCTCAATTGAACTAATTTTACCAAGTATTAACCAAATCGATTGTTCGTCTTTTAACAAATTTTATTAATATGTTGTGTACTGTTATCTTAAATTATTTTTTAATGAAATTATTGGTATGTTTAAGTACCTACCAGTTTTCATGTTAGATATGTTAAGACTAAAGTAATTTAGTTAATTATTTTAAATTAATTTAGTGTATAGGTCTGTCTGTATACTGAGTTACCGGAGTAGGGCGAAATTTTTCTAAGTAAACATTGTATTGTTATGAAGTTAGGGAGCATGTTTTTGATAAATCTTTATTTTCTGGGAGAAATTAAACTAGTTATAATTGTGTCAATTCAGTAAGTTGTAACTGTAAAGCTCATTATTTCAATTAATAACCCCAAGCCATTCATTTAATTAGTGCCATTAATTTAAACTCTAGGTACTTTTATAATTATTACAAATTTGAGACCAAATTTTTTTTTAAATGGCCTAATATGACTCATACTATAAAAGAAATCTCATAGCAGAAGAATTTATAAAATGTTTCATCTACTGACATAATTTCTTCAACTTACTTAAAATTCACCATTTTTGCATTTGTTACCTTGCAAAATGAGACTATGTATCAGTTATTAGTAAATGAAGGTACGTTCGTGTTAATTAATAATCTGGCCTACATTTTACGTTCACGTTAATACCAGTATATAGAAATTGGGACGCAATGAAATATTCATACCAGCGGTTTTAATTATAAGATTTTTTAAATATGATTAGGTGTGTTAACAAAAGTGAAGGTATCAGACCTATTGTTAAGTATCCTAAATAAAGTACATTATTGTATTGATATGGCATTATTTACTATACACGGACAAATGACTCAAGAGGACTGCTAATGCGATTCGAGACAGCGTAGTCGGGTATTTAGTATCTATTGGTACATGATGCGCTACAATGCCGCGGCAATCCCATCAACGTCCTGAACGCATTGTTACACTGCACCCTCAAAGTGTTTAGGGTCACCTTACACTACTTCGCCCAAAGGCTACACGTGTAGAAGGTTTGACTGTATGCTTTAAAAAGCGTTAATTTGACCTCTTTACTACAACATGTAAACCTCCGGGCAAGCAGGTTTGCTCTTACCGCAAGGGGTCTCCCTCTCTTTCAATGTCCACCAGATCGGACTGATCACACGTCACCCAGTGACCCAGGTATTTAAATTTGAACACTCACGTGTTTAACAATAATTTGCAGTCAAAATTTACTTTTTGCTATTTGTCAATAGGGCTGCCATTATGTTACTTCTTTTAAAGTTATAAGTGCCGAGGGCGTAGGCCGAGGTCTAGCGGAGGGCGAAGCCCGAAGCGTCCGCACGTCGCCTCACGTAGGTAGTATTCGGAGACTAAATTACGAGTACAAGTACAAGATTTCACAATTGTTCAAAATGTAAGGCATAATTTCCGATATAGTGGAAATAAGATACTTATAGCGTTGTATCTCGACCGTCTCTCTGTTAGATTCTTTTTTCTTGAAAGATATGCCAGAGAAGTATTTAGGGAAAAAATGCCAGACAATCACTCCAAATTTCTGATCTCAAACTAGAAAATATCCTGTACTATGAGTATCACAGTAACGATAATTCTGAGGGCAATGCCAGAATACCCTGACCAGAACCAACATAAAATTTTTTATTCATAAATAGGCTCAAAATAGGGATCGAATCTGGAACCTCCTCATCAAGCGCCCATGGTACTAATCACTGTGCCACAGACGAGCATTAGCACACCCCGTAACCTGAAACTAATCACGCGCCTCAGGCCGAGCCCGACTCTAGGTGAGGTATAGGGCTCGTAATAACTAAAGGTGGTCCTTAGTACAGTCAAGAGCACATCAAGCTTGAGTCTTGACATTGTACTTTGGACCGTTCTTATCGTAAACGGCATAGAGTCGCATTAAAGTCTTAAGTGTAAAGCCTGACGTGCTCTTGACCCTGTACTAGAGAACAAATAAGTAACGAGAACGGACACTCTTCGTCCCTCCCTAGCTTTAGATACAGCACCACGCTCCGCACATTGACGGTCACATTGACTGAACGAGAACAAGGGTGTAGGCGAGCCGTTTTCGCGCTAAGACGGCTTTGATATTTGAATAAGGTTTTCATTTATTCATTACGAAATTTATAACTTCATTTTACGTGACTATTTATAATGGTCGTGAATTGTGGCCGTAACTTCGTGAGCTAGACAAGGGTTCTCGAATTTTCTATTTGTATTGCCGATAAGTATTACGTAGTGAATATACCTTTTTTTTGTTAATCCGGGAGAATCTGCTTACAGATAGGGACTGGGCTGAACCCTGAAGGGGAGCAGCCCGACCGCACTAAGCCCTCGGAGTGTTCCTTCTCTCCGCTGTAGGTGGGGGTACGGGTACGCTGTTGCACTCGTCCGCGCCCCCACCAGCGGGTGGCCGCGCCCTGCGCAGCCCCTCCCCGAGAAGGGAGACACATCGGTCCCCCGACTCCGAATGTGAGGCTCGCCGAACACCAGACGAGCCTTCATCCCGGGCCCCTTTATGCTGGGCAACGAACTCCCCCGAGTCCGCTACCCAGGGGCACGGGGGGCCAGGACAGCATCCACTCAATTGTGAAATTCAGTGGCTGTTCCCCCAGCCCCCGCGGCGGATCTGATGACAGGCTCCGCCGCAACACCTAACGCGCTTCCGCGCGGACTCTCCGAAGAGAGTCCCTTGGAGCGCCCACCACGGGCCAACCGCCCACATTCGGCCGCGGAGGATAGGACGAGCGGCAACGACACACCGACACGTCTCTTCCCCCGCGGCCGCGCCGCCACTGCATCGTCGAAAGCCGTGCAGGCCAGAGTCGCGGAAGACAGGACGAGCGGCAACGACACACCGACACGTCTCTCCTCCCGCGACCCTCCTCCCAACGCGCATCCGCGCGGTCCCGCTGACCAGACGAGCCCCTCGCGGAACGCCCTCCTCCTCGGGCCAGCCTACCACCATCGGCCGGCCCCGTGGGTTCCTCTTAGCTTCACCGTGGGATGAAATCGACCACGAATACTAGTGCCCCCCCGCCACGACAAGGCAGGAACACCTTCGGGGGGCGTAGTGAATATACCTAATTATCAACTAGGTAACAACAAACTTCAAATACGTGGGTTACTTTATTTAAAGGTACCTGTCCAAAATATAACATTTTAAGTGCTTAGGAAATGAAACTATTTTTCCGGATTTACATCGCGTATATTTGTTTTTTCAAACAAATCTACCTTCTTTCTTGGACCATCTTAATTCTTTTAGTACTAAGATCCAATTTACTATGGAACAAGAGAATTGTGGTACTTTAGCTTTCTTAGATGTTTTAATTAAAAGAAATCCTAATAACACCTTAGGCCATATTGTATTTCGAAAGAAAACCCATACAGATAGGTATCTGAATGGTAATTCCCATCACCATCCTAGCCAGTTAGCTACCGTGGGCAAATATTTTGTTTCAGAGAGCATATGGTGTCTGCGACAGTAATCATCTGGCAGGGGAACTTCAGCATATAAAGCAAGTCACTACATGCGAATAAGTTGAAGATTCTACGCCAATGCCGCAGGCCCCGTGTGAAACCACCAACAGTCGAGCGAAGACCTGCCATCTTACCTTGCGTGAGAGGTGTTACAGACAAGATCGGAAGAGTCCTCAGACGTGCATCTATCAAGACCTATTTCAAGCCCCTGAGGAAGATTTCTCAGTTCCTGAGACCCGTGAAATGTAACATCCCCTTACAGGATGCAGGAGTTTACAAGCTTGACTGTGAGTGCGGTCTCTCTTACATTGGACAAACAAAGCGAAGTATTTGTACCCGTGTCAAAGAACATATACCTAGCTGATGTCAAACACCGCCGCGTAAACAAGTCTGCAGTCTGCGAGCATGTCATGGATAAACCTACACATTCAATGAAGTTTGACAAACCCCAGGTCCTTGCAAAAGAAGTCCGTTATCTACCCAGGATTCTGGGAGAGGCCATTGAAATTAAAAAACATCCTAATTTCAACAGGGAAGGTGGTTTCTCCGTACCACCAGTTTGGGATCCAGTATTTCCTCTAATGAAAAATCCCAAACAGACATAAGACTGCAGTACTAATTAATATGTTTTAGTTTATTCCAATTTCTATTAATAATTAATAATAAATTAAACTTAATAAAAATTCATGCAATAAAATAATTTGTAAAACTTAATGTAGCGTAAATTGGAATGTTTTCTTTGTAAAATTAAAAATAAGGTATTTAATTAATAACTATTGTAACTATAGTGAAAAAATTGGGTGGTTTGCATTAATATTAGACATAACTGGTTGAAGACTGTACCACCTCAGTCAACCGTGACCATGGGACCTGTAAAGGGCCCGAAACATAGGTTTGTTTGAAAAAACAAATATACGCGATTTAAATCCGGAAAAATAGTTTCATTTCCTATGTGTAACAATCGCGAAAACCTAAGAACTCGATATTTTAAGTGCTTTTAATACATTTTTTAAATAAATCTTCAATATAATTCTAGTTAGTGAATTAATGAAAAATATAATATTGTACCGATATAAATACCTTCGTAATGAACATGTGTAATTATTAGGATTCTTTAATAGAATTATAGATAACAAGCGTTAGAATTTTCGCTATGTTGCCGCTCTAACCACGTAACGTAATCATAATAGGATCAAGTAGAGATGGGAAAAACTGCTTATTTTTTTAAACGTTTAAACGTTATGCTTTTTTAAACAAGCGTGCTTTTTTAAACGCTTTTTCACTTAAACGCTTTTTAGTTGGAAGCTAACAAAATCGTTTATAAAACGTTTAAGCGCAAAGACTTTTACGTTAAAAAAAGCTAGCAACGTTGTGTTGATAGCGAAAAGCAAAAGTAGACCACTTAAAGGTTTTAAGGTAAGTTTTTTTGTAAAAAACGAGTTATATTTTTATTTATGATATAACATTTTTATATTAACATTTTGTTCATTGGCGTTTAAAAGCGTTCAAAAACATAAGTTGTTTAACTTTGTACTTGTTAACCGTTGAAATGGAAAAAAACTGCTGATTTTTTTAACGTTAAAACGTATGTTTAAAAAGCGTGCTTGTAAAAGCGCTTTTCACACGCTTTTTAGTTTGACGCTTAAAAAGTCGTTTAGAAAAACGTTTAAGCGCATAGACCAACGCTTACGCCTAAAATGAAAAGCGTTATTTTAAAAAGCAGACTTTTTAAGTGCTTTTTGTTTAAACGCCCACCTCTACGAGCAAGTGATGGGTAACCCTGCCACTTTACGCACACATTTGCGCGTGTGCAGATAGCGCGAGATAGCTCCTTGCTGTATGTAGTAGTAGCTAAATAACTTTCGACCGTTCTATGGAGTGTACGGGGTGTGCCTGTCATAACATACAATAGCAGATAATGTCATGCATGTTATTATCATGCAATGTATACCTAATTACCGAACAACTGTCTAAACTGCTGTTGTTATATTGCTATTCTGCTGTTGCAATTGCATCTCGCGAACAAGCAAGTATGCAATAGGCTTAGAGGATGGAAGTCCAAGGCAATGTGCAAAACTATAAAATAGCGGACAATTTACAACAGTTATTGAAAAATCGTATAATTCGTTACTGACAAATAGACGTTATTGCCGTGTGTAATTTGTCTACGCACATCCAAAATATTTTTGTTTCTTCAAATTAGGAATTAGGAATGGGTAATATAGCTTTTTCTGAATATCGTATCGAAACTATATATCAATGTTCGAAATCGGATTTCGAAACTATATATTTTCTGAAACTATATATTCATGGATACAGCCCTCGTGCGCGCTGCGTTCATACATTGCCGTTACTGATATTCGGAATCAGATTTCGAAACTATATATTATTGGATATAGTTTCACAAGAGCAATGCGGGTCAATGTTAATATACAGTTTCGAAGGCGAAAAATGGTTTCGCGTTAATATCCACTCAGTGAATATTTGATACGAAGCAATATCGGTATATAGCTTGGAAAATATATGATTTTGTGTTGGTATCCACTTGGTAATCGCTCGGCTTGATTTGGAATCGCTATAAAATACGCAATGCGCAGCAATATCGATATATAGTTTCTAAGATAGACGATGTCGGATATTCGATATTGGCACATTATATAGGTTCAATAACTAAATACGATTTGTGGATTCGCTCTGGGCCTTTTGGAGGGAAAAGTGTCGTTTTTATTCTGACTTTCAATTATTTTGTGAAAGCTAGTTTAAAGTGGAATAGGATAGTGCTATTGTGCCTTAATCGAAGATTAAAACGCTAAATTATACGAATCTCGAACTAAAATACCCGTATCGGCCCGTTCTAAGGAATCCCGAGTAAATCCAAGCACGCCACCTCAAATTGCCTATCCTCTTTGTGGCGGCCATATTTATAGAAACATAATTAAACGAAGACATGGCTCAAAGAACTTGTATCCAAGCCAAAATTATTAATAAAAAGAAAATATATACGATTATACGATTTGTAAAACCCATTCCTACTTTAAATGACATTGAGGGTATTATTAACGTGTTTCCAGCAGATTTCTTTGGATTGTCGTTTAGCAGTTGTTAGTGATTTTGTAAAGTTTAAGAAAATGCCTTATTATGCCGTGGCAAGAGGACGAACGGTTGGTATTTACAACAGCTGGGCTGAATGTGAAGCTCAAGTGAAAGGATTTTCTGGCGCCAGGTACAAAAAGTTTGATTCTCCACAAACCGCCCAGAATTTCATCAGTCACGAAGGCGGGACAGATAGCAACCGTGAAAACAATTACTACAACAAATCACCGCAGTTCCCTTCACAACTAAAACAATCTAATAGTAACCTAAAAAGGAATTATTCTACTGCATCATTATCAAAACAAAACAAAACTCGAAATAACCGTAGTTATTCAAGTAATTCAAAACGCTCTAGGTACGATACAAGTGACAGTGAAGAAAGCGACTCGGATGAAGTACAGCTTGTAACTAATATTGTAACAAAACAACTAGATGATATAGAGAAAAGGTTGAATAGCTTTAACAAGGCTGTGAATAAGATTGTGGTAAAGGGTCCAAAGTCGTCTTCAAGTTCGGAGCCGCGTAAAACAATATTAATAGAGCCCCCTCAGCCCAAGAGCCACAGATCTAGTAATAATACTTTTATTAAGGATAGTGATGGATTTGTGGAAGTATACACAGATGGAGCATGTTCTTCAAACGGTCGTCAAGGCGCCAGAGCTGGCCTTGGCGTATATTGGGGTGATGGTCACTCTTTAAATGTTTGTGAGCCAGTCTCTGGTAGACCTACAAACAACTGTGGAGAGATACAGGCAGCTACACAAGCTATAAAACAGGCCCTAGACAATGGTGTTACAAAATTGGCCATCAATACTGACTCGCAGTTTCTCATCAATTCTGTGACCAAATGGATGCCGGGTAACCATGATTTTATGTCAAGATTTGAAAATATATGACATTCACAAATTATACTTACCAAAGTTTTTTGCAGGTTGGAAACGAAAGGGATGGAAACTTGCATCAGGAGAGCCAGTGAAGAACGAAAAAGATTTCAAAGAGCTAGATAGCTTGCAGCATAAGCTCCAAATAAAATGGAACTATGTGGAGGCCCATAGAGGCATACACGGCAATGAAATGGCTGACCAGTTGGCTAAGGCAGGGGCAGCTATGTATAAGAAGTAATTATTTTGTTATTATTTTTGTTACTTAGTTAAATTTGCCTTATGTTCCTATTTTCAGAAATTAATGTAGTTTGGCACCATTTTTATCCAAGTTTCTGTACATTATCATCTACTAATCAAGTAATTATTATAAGGTATAAAAGTGATTTCGTAGGTTCAAGTTGCAAAATAGTAGATTTAGTGTTCACCATTTAATCAGGGTGTTGTACTTGTGCACACTCGAACATCCTTATTTCCGAATCTATTCTTCGACATTGAGAACCACAGCACTTGATAATTGCACACAAAATAAAACAGTGTACCCCAAAAACATCATGTATTTGTAACAATACTTGTAAGCTCAATCAAATTATATTTTCATATTGCTTTAAATAAAACACCAGATTTACTGATACCACATTAATATTTTAGTAAAAAACATCATTGTTTTTAAAAAGTTTTTTAAATTGAAATTTTAAAAGAAGTTGTATAAAATCAATGAAAGATCAATAAACAGAATAAAAGGCACTTTTATAACTTAAATAATATTTTTAAATATGTCTAAATAATATTGATATGATTATTATGAAGAAATGTTAAATAGAAAAATCCATGTAGGTACATGTGCCAAAATTTGATTAATAAATAATTGATTATTGAATTTGGTATTTTTCTTAAGAAACAAACTTTTTGCTGTTTTACACAAACTGCTTGCTGAGCCATATCAAGTTGTGACGGTGTGACCTCCTTACACCGTCATCTCACCTTTTTGTTTCGCCTGTCTCCGCTTGTATCCTATCATTTTTTTATTTTACATGTATTTAAATTTAAATTGTTCCATCTTCCTTCATTTTCTCATTTTGTTTTCGTACCACAGTCACTCCCAGCTCGACCGCCACAACAGTCGGAGCTGTTTCAAATTCCATCGCGAATAATCGCTAACCCCGCTACAACCCTGTCCCTGTTCGGGCGCCAGTGGAAAGGGTTGTAATCCTAACTAGCCATTTCATTGCCGTGAACAGGTTCACGGCAATGAAACGGGAAACTTCCGGTCCACAAAATTTATTAAAGAAGTAAAGTTTAAAGACAGGGCTGTAACAATAAAAAGGTAAATGTAAAAAAACAGGTACAACCATTGACTTACAAATAAATGGACGACGGGTCTAATACAAAAACCACGAAAAAAATGTCCCAAGTCAACCTATTCGAAATTTAAATTGTAATGTCATCGCAGTATCGCGCTGTCAGTCGAACAAATGAAGACTAAAGCGGAGTTTGGCGCTCTGTATACGATTTTAGCGCCTTACAAGTGCGGACACTTTTTAGCGCGGACCCGACGTCCATATAATTGTAAGTCAATGGGTACAACAGTATAAAACACTCCCTACACTTTATTATTTAGGCACTTACCCCTAAATGGGCCGAGTAACTGAATTACAGATATAAGTACACGAAGGCTGTAGACTTATAATTATTACACATGATTTAGCTTATTTAATGATTGTAAACAGTAAAGAACCAAAATTAGCGATTATTCGCGATGGAATTTGAAACAGCTTCGACTGTTGTGGCGGTCGAGCTGGGAGTGACTGTGGTACGAAACAAAATGAGAAAGTGAAGGAAGTTGGAACAATTCAAGTTTAAAACTTAAATACATGTAAAATAAATAAAATGATAGGATACAAGCGGAGAGAGGCAAAACAAAAAGGTGAGATTACGGTGTAAGGAGGTCACACCGTCCCAAAGAACACGTAATAACGCTTTGTTCGCTTAATAGATGATAATAAAACAAGAAATAGCTTCGAAATGTTGTTTTTATTGAAACTAAAATATTTCGTACCTTATTGTACTAAAAGCATTTTAACAGTGGCGATAAAAAGTTGGCGCTATTTACATCCTTAATACTAGTTACATGTCACAGTCAAATGACTACAAATCACAATGGTACGAAAAATAACTTCTTAAAATACTATCTGAGTTTCCTATATTCTACTACAAGGATGTTGTTATATCTGTTATACGAAATTCAAACTTTTAAATGTTAATTTTGTCTTCCCAGATAAATAAAGTAAGTTGTACAGAAAATACCTCTGGCACTATTTGAAGAAAATGAACAATGGAAAAGAATACAACTATTTCAATAATTAGTATTGCTTACTTCAGTAATACTCATTAGTCGTGAAGTTCACCTAAACACATGCAGTTCATGTAACTAAAATTAGCAGTCTTAAAAATATCTTAAAATATACGACAGGGTCATTGGATGCTCAGAACATTTTATAAGCACTACATTGAGCATGTTATGACAAATCACCACATACCTTAATTCAAGGCTTAATTTATTTGGTTTAAAATTTAACATAACCGTACATCAAAATCACCAACTGAACTTCACAATCAAAGGTATTTTAGCTACAACTTCTACGATTTCGGTAGATACGTGTGTAGTACAAATATACAAAAAAGATATTTTTTTTAACAATGTAGTTTTAAAAGTAAGAAAATAATTGGTTACCTTCTTAATTAAAACCGAAAGAATATGTAAAATTAATTCTTTACAATATTTACAAAAAAATTTTAAAGAATAATAAATTGCATTTTAGACGTCGTTGTTGACGTGTACAAATAAAGCTAATCGTGACACAATATCCAATGATTTCAATGATGAGATTGATCTCCGAAGTCTAATGAAAGTTCCGTTGTCACGTGAAATGACTCGATAATTACTGCAATATGTAGGGGTTACCCTTGAATGTGTAAAGCATTTAAAGACAATTAAATAATATAGAACCCTTCCGAAACAAACCAAATTGCCATTCTCCATTTCCCAAAAACCACATGAGATCCAGCTGCAAATTACACATGCCTCGTAAAATTTACTTTATAACTAACATTGAGCAGTTCTTCAAGTTTCATTGTTTTAGTCACTAACTGAAAATTATTTCATTCTCTAATAATCTATTATAATGAACCTATACAAAAGTTGAAGTTGAAGAAAACATATACGGGTTCCCACTTAGGGCATCAATCGGAACAGTTAATAAATTACATACAAAATACAACGAACGATGGTTATCAGAAACAGACACATTTAGCAGAAACTTTTTCGAACTGCTACACAAGTTTTTTTAAGGAACCAGTCTAACATTAGATATATGCCAAATATTCACATACATAATCTAAATTATTTACAAGTATTCAGGTTACGTATAACTAGTCTTACCATTAGGGTAATTTGTATTCGAGACATACCCACTGTCGAACAAGCACTATTCGTAGCGACAAACAATTGCTCGCACATAATCAACTAGTCCGTAGACTAGATTTACATTCTAAAACCCTTCGTAGGCTCTTTGTTAAATTTGACAGGTAATTAATAGAAACAGTGGTTTAATTGGCAACACAAAGCGGGAGAGAGAATATCAGAGCCACCAGGCTACCATTTGCCTATAAAGATCACAGCTAGGAGACGATCCATTAAAATGAGCAATGCAACATAAAATTGATATTCTACAAGGTTTATATTTCTTTAAATAAAAAAGAAGATACAACAAGCGGCGCCTCCCGGGCGGCGGCGGCTTCGATCACCTTACAATAACTAACGTAACGTAATAACTTTACGAAATGAAGTATACAATTCTTTGAATATAAAATAACAAAAGGGTATCGCATCGATCGTCGGCAGCTTGTGCTGCTACGGGCAATGTAAAGTGCAACTTAGATGCGTAAGTATAAGATTAATAATAAAAGAATAAGGTTAGTAATATTTCTTTGCAAGGCAGGCAGCTGCTGAACGGCTTTACTCTTTTCGTTATTTTGCATTCAAAGAAATATTTAATTTATTTAGGATAAAGCTACTATTATTTCGTTGAAAGTAAAAGATTATAAGAGTAAAGCTTTCGAAGACAAGAGGTGCCGACGCTTTAGCTCTTTTGTTTTCTTCCGTGTAAATACAACAAATAGCTTTATTGATAAAAAACGAAGCTCTATATTGCATTGCTACGTCTAAAGGTATATCTTATTCTTCAGATGCTAAGTTACACTTTGCATGCCCCGTGGTGATGACAGGATGCGCCGGGCGGCGACCCACGGCGCTGTGCGACTTCACTCTTTTTACATTAAAAGCATCGTATACTTATTCTGTAACTTCTGTATTCATAAAGTTTATGGTGCATGGTTCATTTTAATGCATCGCAGTCGCACCGCCTGGTTGCGGCAATTTGAGGGGACCCTTAGGCGGTCTACTAATTGATCTATTTACCGGATACGAGTATAAACTTACGGAATACGAGTTGTGGTGAACCATGATAACTGATTTTCAACGTAGCATATCAATTGGTTGATCTGTACGGCCATAAAGGAAAGTTTGCTGCCACAGAGACCGATTAACTAAACATTGCAATTCATCCTTCCATCCATGTTGTAAATACAACTAAAGATCTCACTCGATGAAGAAAACGATAATAGTCGACGCTATGGTAAATAACCCCAGACTAATACCCCCTTGGGGTTTTTACATGTATCTTTAACGTCATTTGGCGGTTCAGTGTTCTCACTTTGAGAGCACCCATGCGCTATTCAGGAAATGTATTGAATAGCGTTGGACCGGCGCGGGGGGTTGACAATAGTTGTTGAGCTTGATGCACTGTTAGAAGCTCCGACTATAAGGTATCCTCCTGATGTTACTACCTTCTTTGAACTTTCCTCTCCTAACTGTAAAAGACAAACGTATGTTAATTAAAGCGAAGGATTTATAACGGACACAAAATTTATAAAACAAAATCACTTGTCATCTTATTGTTTGTCCTTCATTGACTTTTTGTAAGTCAATGTTGTCCTTCAATATTTTCGACTCAAATTTATCTATGTAACTATCACAAATTTAAGACCGGGCCAAATGTCAAGCGTTAGACGCGCGTTTTGCTAACGTGTGTGAAGTTGAACCTTGTAGATACAGTGTGTATTTTTAGGTACTCTTACTTTTATTAGGAAGCTGGAATACTACGGAGTAAGTGGCAAAGCGTCGGAACTTGTCTCGTCATAACTAAATGGAGTGACTTCTTTGGGTTCTCCGGCAAAAATGGGTATTCCGCAAGGCTCAATAATTGGACCTTTCTTATTTCTCATTTATATTAATGATCTACCATTCTTTGTTAAGGATCTTTGCGAAATAGTATTGTTTGCTGACACATCCTTGATTTTTAAAACGGACGAACATGACGTTAACTATGACAATATTAATGGTACCCTTTCAAAGGTAGTATATTGGTTTAATATTAACAATTTATTGCTCTATGCCAAGAAGACAAAGTGTGTTAAATTTGAATACCTAATGTATAATCGACTAGCCCAATAATAAAAATAAATGGAGAAAAGTTAGACCTTGTTTAAACCTGTCTTTTTGGGAGTGACCTTAGACAGTAAACTCCTATGGTTTCCACATATATCTTCCTTGGCCAGCAGATTGAGCTCTGTTGCATACGCAGTCCGTAGAATACGTGAACTTACCAATGTTGCTACTGCTAGACTAGTTTAGTTACTTCCATAGTATAATGTCCTACGGGATTCTCATGTGGTGTAAAGCGGCAGATATACAAACCATATTTGAGTTGCAAAAACGAGCGATTCGTTCTGTGTACCGTTTAGGTTCTCGGATTTCTCTCAGAGAAAAGTTTAGGGAGACTGGTATCATGACTGTGTTTACTCAAATATTTTATATACCCGTAAATATATATACATACATAACTTCGTTAAGAAACATCCAAACTCATAGTACCACGTTTTCGTTTAACTAAGGTAAACGATTATTTTATGGGGAACTGCATACGTTTTTACAATAAGATTTCGGAACATATATTAAGTTTACCATTTTCTAAGTTTAAAACTTACCTACATTAAAAGTATTTTAATTGAAAAATCATGTTACAAAATTGTAGACTTCGTGTTAGATAAAGATGTACGGAAAGACAACGTGAGTCTAGATTCCACACAAATATGATTCAAAATGTATTCTATAGCATTTAAGTTTATTTGAAAGAGCAATCCCTAGAGATTCTTGCTCGATCTTCTCAGGGAGGTCAGCGTAGTGAACGAGCAGTAGCTTAAAAAATGACGTTTTCAAGTGTAAAATTTTACCTATGGAAGAAATGATTATTTGAGGTATAACTTTAGATGCAAAATAGTAATGGGGGGGGGGGGGGGCACAAATAAGTAAGTCCAGGCCCAGTTCTGCATTGTACGCAATTAAAAAAATACGAAAACTTTCAGACGTCGAAAACGCTACTGCCTGTCTTTTTTGATGATGGAGTAAAATGACAGTTAGTGTGAGGCCAGACGAGCGTAATTTTGTGAGCTAAGTTGCGTAGTTTGCGCTGCATTCGGTTTCATATAAAAGTACGGTTTGTTTCACACGACGACGTAAAATGAGTTATCTGACGACTGACTTTCAGTCACATCATGCGTCGGATTGGCGCGGGTGGAGGTAGGGGTGAGGTAAGAGGTCACTTTGCTATAAACGCTTAAAAAGCAACTGAATAAAATACGTTCGTCTGAGGCTCCAATAGAATTTCGGTCGAGCGCAAACTGCGGAACTCAAAAAACGCAACTCACAACTCAAAAAATGACGTTCGTCACGCTTAATTGCGCAAAAGTGTTGCCCGCTTACAAGCAGCAGGTCTAGCACGACAGGGCGCAACTAGCGTGAGAGCGTCATAAAGCGCGAGATACTGCTATTCTCGCGTAGAGACTTCGTGCTTTATGTCGCTCTTGCGCAAGTCGCGCCTTATCGTCGTGCAGCTAGTGATTGCAGTCGATAAATATTCTATCGACTATAGACAGAATTTGGTCACGCTTATGCAATAAATGGTCAAACCTATTTCATTTAAATAATCATCGGCCCATTATTATAATTCGTCTAACTGCTGGACTATGAAGTTCATGGTCCAAATGCATGTTAGACGTTTTACCTCTCCAGAGTCGAAAGTACAATTAATGTTTATTTACAAAGAGCAACCCCTAGAATTTCTTGCTCATTCTTCGCGGGACAATCTGCCTTACGATTAAGCAGTAGATTTCAAGTGTAATTTGCTTATCCATGAAATAAAGATTATTGACTTTGACTTTATGCTTATGTCGCGCTTAAGGCGGCAGCCTACCCTGTGTAAACAATTGAGTTGTTTGACGACTACAGTTACTTTTTTTTTATAATATCAAGTGACGGGACGGACAAGTCGTGCGCCTGATGGTAAGCTACACACCTGTCCATAACAGTTGCAGTGCCACTCAGAGCTTTAAATCGCAAAGATCTACGGGGCACTGCCACTGCGCCCCTCACCTTGAGACAAATTGACAAGTTCATGTGCCTGTAATTTCACCAGCCCAGGGTAAGGACCCTTCAAAACTCCGGTTTTGAAGTCCGGAACACAGTAATGCTGACATTACTGCTTGGCGGCAGAAATAGATAAGGTGGCAGTACTTCCCTAGACGAACTCTCTCACAAAGAGATCTATTGGCTTAAAATTTAACTCCGAAGTTACAGACTATCGCCTTCGGCAAGTGACGGTCGACTAATATATA